GAAACATTAGCTTGTCAGAGAGCTAAAGCACTGCGAAGAACCTTTCTGAATGACCATGCAAGTCTTCAGCCAGATGTTCTTCATAGCACAGGGTAATGCACGCTCTGCTGGGAGTTAGACTAAGGCCTTTCCTTGCATCACTCACAGTCAGCATTGTTTCCTGTAGGAAAGCAGCTTGCTGATGTAAGAATACACAAGCCATCATGCACAGGCTTGTAAAATACCACACAGTTCAGCTGAACGCTGTCGGCATTTACTCTATTAGCACCAAGTGATCAAATAATCTTTGAGAGGAGTCTCCCTGGAACCCTGTGCAATTCATCTACACGTTAGAGGAAACACTTGGATCTAAGCTGCACAAGCATATTTAGAAGTCCCAGTGGTAGCCACCCTCTGAGCACCCTCATCTCTGTCCATTGTTCTATCTTCTGAGTGTTCATGAACTTGGAATTGCTGCTGGCTGCCCAGAGAGCTGTGATACATACCCTGCTGTCCATGCCTGTTGAACCTGGCTATCTCCTCCTCTGATCGTTGAGTATTTCCTTGAATGCTGGAAGTGCAAACCATCTGTCCTTCTAAATATAGCAGCTTAATCCCTTTTGAGCATTACATGAGACTTGGAGAACACCTCCCTGTTGTCAGGGCACCTCTGACCTGTGAAATGCAAGGACACAAACCTGATTTTCAAAGCTCACTGTGATATTGATCTGAACTATACTATGGGCCTATCCTGTCTCTGTGATCAGAACTGTGTATTCATAAACTGAAATAAAACTTTTTTTAGTGATGCCAGAGCCTACTTCTGAAGATACTGAAAATAACCATGAATATTCCCTTATTTTCTTTACTTGTTCTTTCCTGAAAAGGAGGGGAAGAAATAAAGCCTGTTATTGCAGTGACTGAAAGACAGAAAGGGAGAAACTGAGAGGAAGGAGAAGCTGGCGTGCAAGTTTTTGCAGGAGCACAGTCCAGATCACACACCATTCAAATCAGCATTGACCATGGCATACATCTTAAAATACTTGAATTAAAAAAGGAATGAGGGGAAAACAGCAAATTAAATCCATCTGTATGGGAACAGGAATATACCATCCATCAGCTCACAAAGAGTTTCTCTATACACGCTGCCCTTTGCAAACTCATATGGAGAAGGGCCACATCTACTTAGCAAGGAGAAGCCATGGCACTGAACACAGGCAGCATGTGCATGCCTTTTGTGCAGTGTCTTTTCATGCAAGTGTGTTTGTGATAGAAATATTTTACAGGGACGTTTACAGTACCCTACATCTGAAGAGCTATTCTACTCTAGAGTCCAGATTGTTTTATTACCAGCTAAATGTTCTTTAAGCTACCTGTGAATGAGGGCATTGTGACATTTAGCAACTAGTTTGATTGAACACAGATGTGAACCATATTCCATATGGAGAAGATCCAAAGAGAGATCCCAGGCTTGTTTCTGATTTGCAAGTAGGAGTTTGAATGCAATTGCTTGACGTGGAGCTACCAAGATAGATGGAAACCAGTCTCTTGCTCACACATCTGCAGTGTTGCAAATGTAAAATCAGCTGCAGTTTGTGCTAGTGCGCTGTCTTCAGAGGCCAGGAAAAGAAGCCAATATATGTGAAAGAAACAGTCTTGTGGAAATGGGCCACATCCACTCGGAAATGGGAGGGGGTCAAGCATTTGTGTGCACATTGCTTACCAAGAGGCTTCCTAGGTGTGTCCCATTCCACATCAGCACCACTTCCTAATGTCATTCCAGTCTATCTCTGAATATGATAAGAAGTGGAATTACCTGGGAAAGCATTTGGAGAAAAATGGTTACATGGAGAGTAGGGTGGAATCAATAATGCCAGGATGCAAGCTCTGTAGATAATTTTCCAGTATTTCTTGAGTGTAAAATTTACTGATGCAAAAGTGAACTTGCATATGCTAGCATTCATTTTATTGAAGAAATGGATTTTTTCTTATCACTATCTTCAGAGGCAGAGCAAATGTTTGGGGCCAGTTCTGATGCATGTTCTGAACTGCTGAATTCTACAAGGCTGCTCATGGAAACTGTAACTAGCAGGCCTCATTTTCTGCTGATTAATAGAGAGGTTTTATCCTTGTCTTCATAGCCTGTGGTGTTTGTTTTCCTTCCATTTGATCTGATTATGCATCATGTCTCTCCAGTACAGCCTGTAAAGTGGAACAGGGACTGAGTTAAAGTAGTCCTCGTGAGACAGCTCTAGTCCCTCAGACAAAGGCTGATGTTGAAATAACATTTCTGAACCTGAATCTTAAAGAACTTTCTTTTCCATGTAGATAATTGATTTATTTTTTTCTCCCAGCTTTTCATCCTTGTTAAGGTGGGAAGGAATTCCCAGTTTTTACTAGCTTTGGCTGTTTGGTTTTATCAAGTGTCCCTACCTATAACTATTCTGCTACAGCAACACTGGGCTTAGCAGGTTTCAGGGTACGCTGTGTGGGGGTGGTTGCATTCTCTGAATATGATGCTGTAGGGCAGAAAAAGAGAGTTTTGTCTGATCTTAGTTCAGACACACTAAGTTCAAATGATACTCCTGCTTCATCAGGATACAATGACAGGCTCCAAGATAAGTGAAAAACCTGAGTTGCCAAGATCTGTACCCAGGTTTGTTGAACTTCAGGTTATAGGGAATACCAGTCTTAAGAACGTTCACAAGTAGTTAAATATGCAGGTAAAAAATTGGGAAGTTTAGTTTCTGTTTCAGCACCGCAGTCCTTCCTCTTGAAAATCCCCTGGGCAGAGAGAGACAGACAGCAACAGCCTGTAGGACACCTGAACTCAGACCTGGGTCTAGCCTCTTCTCCCTGGTTACACACCTACCCTCTGTCCACGGACACACTTGCTTTGCACACCTGGTATGAAGTTCAGAGCGAGTTCGTTCCAATTGTGCACATCTCTCCTTCTTTTTATAATTCTCTGTTTGGAAACTAGGAAGCTATGGTATCACGTGCAGGTAGCACAGCAATAAACATGTTCTCATCACAATTTACACATAAAGTGTGAGTCCCTCGAGGTAACTCATCCCCCTCTTGACAGCTTTAATAAAGGATGATGGATTGTTTCTAAATGACAGTTTAGGAAGATCAAAAATTCCCCCCTGTATTGTTTTGAGCTCTGGTGTACAAGAGCTGTTTTGTGTTCTGTGAAAGTTGTTTTTGCCTGTAAGGGCTGGGGCTCTGTTACTGCCTTTCACTGTGGTGAGGAATGCTTAGTTACCACAGGAGCACGTGCATCCTGCCGCACGCTCGGCACTTCTTGAAAACCTCTGCAGAGAAGCAAAGCCCAGCATGGGTGGGAGGTGGGGAAATGCCAGTAGCTGAATGCATTGCTGTCTTTGGGATCCTGCTCTGGGCAGCCTCCCCATGTGGCTTGTGGGGAGGAGGAGGAATTGGATACTGATCCACCCAGAGTTGCCTCTAAGAGGTGAATGCTGGGAGGAGGCATCACCTGAACCCACCTGCCAGCTCCCCAGCCAGCACGTGCAGGGAGCCTGGGAAGACCCAGGCCTCCAGGTACCTGGCAATCACCTGCACACTCTTTTCCCTCTCTCTCTGCCCTTTTTTTTTTTTTAAAGTTTACATGTGGCAGCAAATTAATTCTGGTGGGCAGAGTCCTCCCTCTTTTTTTCTTCTTGGCTTGAGATTTATTTCTCAGTGCATGTGCTTTGTAGCTGCCCTTGGCAGGGTGGAGTTTGTTCAGCTGTCCATTCCCTAGCTAATCTGGTGTCTTAAAATAAAAACAAGCAAGTGGATCTTGGGAGAAAGGTTGCCACATGAAGACGTGCAGGGAGTCATATGGTTAAAACAGCCCTGCTCAAAGTCATTCACATGGTAAGAAAACAGATAACAAAAAAAAAAAAAAAGGCTGAATGCCTGATTAGGTCTGGGTCTGGTGGTGTATTGAGGTGATAAAATGAAGCCCAGACAGGAGCCCACCACTGTGGCCACACACCACCAAAGTCATACCTCATTCACTGTGGATGTAGTGGGTCTGAGTGGTCTGTGGAGCCCATCACCTTCCACTGGAATATGGCATAGTCCAGCTTTTGTCTCCTGTATGTGAGCAGCCAGCCCCTGGAGCAAGCACTTCTACAAAACACGGGAAGAAGATTCTCATCAAACCACACAAAGTCAAAAAGTTCTCCACCATGTGGAATGGAAAATTTTGAAATAGAAACCAGCATAGACTGGTGTTAAATCAAGGCTAGAACTTGCCAGGTGTGCAGGATCCAGAGGGTGGGAAACTTGCAGCTCTCCAACCACTTCCCTGGTGGAAGGCAAAGGGCGACTGTTCTTGAAGATCTTTCCTGAACTGTTACTTTTCCACCCATAAATTTTTGCAGCAATGCTTCCTTCAACTAAGGAGCCCTGACTGGATATCGGTTACTTCATCTGGGACAGAACCATGTAACATTCACCTGTCCACCCTTTCTATTCCTAACATCCCAGCATGAAGCAGTTTTTGCTCCCTACTGTCCCAGGAATCTCAGCAATATTTTTCTTACATTTGTGGTAATGACACCAGGGAACAAATTTTCTATCATCTTCCAAAAATTTCCAGGTACCTCGTACATAAGGACAGATTCTAGGGCATGAAAGTGTGTGTGTGATTACATTACATAATCTGAGGGATTTTCCTATGGGAAAATATGATAAAAGGAATGTTCTTTCATTATTTATTGGAAACAGAAGTAACTGAATCTTAAATTTGGGTTGAATCTTTGTTTTCCACCTTTGTTTCCCAGCTCCATAAGTGTTTGTTTTAGTGTAGTCATTGTCTTTGAATGCTTCTCAGGAAGCAGACCTTGGTAGTAGCCCTAAGTCTTTACAGCCCACATTTGGCAAGATTAGTGATATACTTTTTTTCTAGTGAGCCAGTACTTTACTTCCTGTTGGAAATTATTTGTATTAATATGTCCTCTTTCTTTGGTTGCTGTTGTGTTTTATGACCACGATATTCTTTCCCTTAGGCACAACAGGGATTTACCAGGGAGCCAATGGCCTGACAAATTCTGCAGGATTCAGTGCTGTGCATCAGGTATGGTTCAGCATCTATTATTGGCAACCTTGTCACTTATTTTAAACGTCTGGAAGATAGATCAGAGAGATTATTCTGGGGGTTACATGTATTTAAGGAAGGTACTGCCATATGTTTTGCTGAACGCCATCCTGCTCTACTCCTGTGGCTTGCCCACTTGCTGGACTTCTAGGTATCTTGATGAATTTTATGATGTGTGTGCAAGCATTTGTACTGGTACCAACTGCAGTCCTTGCAGGAGGAGGATGCCCCAGCAGTCTCTGCTGTGCTGCTGTAGCAGTGCCAAGAGTTTCATCATTCCTCTGCCATCTTACAACTTTCGGATATGTTTGCCATCCTCTGCAGAGAGCTCTGCTTCTAGCATCCTGTCGTCTGCTGTCTTGGCACTGTGTAATAGATAGGAACAATTTGAAAGAGGTGTTGGCAGGCCCTGATGAATATTGAGCCATCTGAGCTGTCTGTGTGCTTCCTTCTTTGAGAACACACCTGTCTGTGGGCTTCATGCTTCAGATACCTTGATAAATGTGTGTGTATAAATAAACAGCATGATATATACACAAGACAGATGTTTTTCAGTAGCAAATGGCTCTTCTTGATTTGACCAAACAAATGAGTATACTGTTCCAGAAAATGTGTTTTGGTTGGCCAGTAATTTCAACTTCTTGTTTCTAAGGTGATTGTTGCCTTGTATTATTAATGACAATAGTGGGCAATTTCTTTATTACGTCAGTTTTGGCTAAAAACAACAGCATTTGCTGATAGAAGTGCATTTGATTGAAGTACGTAGGTTACTTAAAAAGAGGAAAAATAACTGGGCTGCTTTCATTATTTTGTGTTAAACAATGGAATTTGCTCATTTCTTTTTCAGTTTAATTGTTCTTATGACAGCTTGAGTCTTTGTTCTTGAGAGCTCCCTGGTGACTGAAAGTTAATGAAATAGCTGTGTCACAGACAAAGATGTAAGCTGTTAAGGAGGAGAGTGCTTTTAGTCTTTCTAAAGACTGTATTATTTAATTTCATTTAATACCAGAGACTAATTAGTATTTCTGAGGAAACAAAACCTTTTGCTGAAAGACAGTCCCCAGAGCATGAGCACAGTTCTGTATCGGAAAAAGCAAATAGGTGGACAAAAGCAGTAGTTGCAGTTAAAATGAAAATAAACAAATTAAGCCTTTTATGTTTTCAATGTCCAGAGAGAAGCTCTCTTATCTATTCCAGTGTCCTGCTTATAACAAAAATAGAACATATGAGGATAATGGTATGAAGGATGTTTGGGAGCCTTAAAATCAAGACAGAGGGCTTTGTGATACCTCAGCTCCCCAAGGTCACTTGCACCTTGTATTTTTAGTTCATTTTTCCATAGGTAGGGAAGATACTTTCTGAAGGTAGGGTAGCATTTAGTTACTGTTGAGATACTTGGACGACCTTAACTTTGAACATCGCTGCAAAGCAACTGCTACTCTTTTTTTTCTTCACTTTTGTAACCTATTCTAACAGCTGATCAGAAAATGTTTCTGATCATGAGGAAAAGGAGCCTGTTTTGCTCCTTCCCTCACCTGGTTACTCATTCTGTTCTTCGAATTTCTTTGGTATTTTATTGTTTACAGAGTCTGTTTTCCATTGTGGCCCTTTTCAAAAAGGCACCCTACTTCACTCCTATATAAAATAGCTGAACCCTGCAATACAAAATGTGTTAGTGCTGAGAACTAAAATCCTATAGAAGCAGCAGAACTTGCCTGATTTTTGACCTCTTGTTGATCAGTTGATCATAACAAAATAGGCATGTATTTAGGAAAAGCAGAAATTGCAAGTTAGTAAGTGAACGAAACATGGTTCTTTAGTGAAATATTCCTGAACTATGAGCTGCTGCATGCGTAGGTAACACTGCTTTTGTGGTGCCTTACTCTTAAGATAAAACCAGATAAACAGAAGCCGAATGTTTCTTTTTTCCTCAAAGGAGTATTCATCTTATCCAAGCTTTCCTCAGAGCCAGTACTCACAGTATTACAGCTCATCCTACAACTCTCCATATGTGTCTGCAAACAGCATCAGCCCCTCGTCCATCCCAACCTCCACTTACTCTCTGCAGGAGTCTTCTCACAATATCACCAGTCAGAGCACAGAATCACTGTCTGGTAGGTGCATCTCTCCTGTTCTCAGTTTGGCAGGCTCAGCCATCTCTTGATAAAAATAATATAATTTTGTTGTTGGAATTTTTAAAATTACATGTATTTTCATGGATAAATCAGATTCCCTAGCACTTAGCAGTTTTGCTTACACAGTGCAACACAGAGTTTTGGGAAGAGATTGGAAAATCCAAGCTCTCTAAAACCAACCTGTGTCATTTTCATGAGTGTGCGAGGTTTGATCTCCCCTAAAGGTATCACAGAAAGATAAAACAACGATATACAAAATCCAGATCGGTACTGAGGGCTAATGTGGGTAGCAATGAGTTTCAAGACCAGCCATGCTCTGAAAAAGCCCCAGAGTTTTCTGATTATGACTGTCTACCCCATGTCTCTGTCAAGGTTTATATTCACCTCTTACAATAACATGCAATATTTGCATTCATAAATAAGTACATCAAAAGAAAGTCCCTTTAAAATGTCAACATAAACTGTTCGTTTAAATTGAAAGTTCAAAATTAATTCCATGCAAAAAGGTTTCAAAATTTGTGACCTTTTTTTGAGTGCTTAATTTTTGGAGTCTCAAAGCTTAAATGGTTTATGGAATTACTGATGGCTTATGGTTCTCCAATGCACTGTTCAAGTACAATATTCAGATATCACTTCCCTACTGAAGTTTTCATTGGCATGCAATAACATTTCTATAAAACGCCACATAATTTGTGGATGATCACAGTCTACGCCCATCGTAGCTCTGCTGACTTAGGAAACAAATCTGAACATCTGTGGTTGCTTTAAAAGAAAAATAAACTAATACTGTTTTTTAAAAAGAAGTTATCACAGATTGCTCTAAAAGCAGTCGGAGGATTTTCTGTTCCTTAGATCTTATCTCAGCCTTTTTGAGAAATAATTACTTCAAAAAGGCTTGTTAGACACAATCCAAGCTTCTTCGAAGAGGAACACGGTTATTCTAGGAAGCTGGAGAGGCCACAGCTTAGCAAGGTGAAAAGAAAAATATGTTTGAAAAGGATTTGTAATGTTGTAAGGTAAGTGAAATCCAGACAGGTTTATGAAACTCAAGCCAATCAAAACAGATACTTTATACAAGGGAAGTTCACCTTTGACTGTCACTTCTCAGTTATTTCTAAAATACTGTCCTCTCTGGAATGGAATATGGCTAAACAGGGTAGTGCTGTGTTTCTAAATAGAAGCTTGATGTTGGAAGTATATTTTTTATCATAATAATTCCTTAAAAAAAAAAAAAAATCAAAAGTTGAATTGGTCTTGCTTTCCTTTTCCATTGCCTCTTGAAAAGCAGGGAGGCAGGTAGTAAAATTCAAAAAGTTAATTTTTTCAGTGAAAAATGTGATAAGGTTTTTTGAAGTGACATGCCCATTTTAAAATGTGATAGATACAATCTTGATGATTTCTGAAATTGTTCAAAAAGATCTTAGGAGTTAAAAGTTATTTCTCTAGCAAAGTCAGCTATTGACATGAAAAGAGTAGGAATTTTTCTGATGTTTTCATAATGTTTTTTGTGCTCTCCACTAAGAAGTTTCATGCATTAATTATAATGACACCGTGTAAAATTTGATACAATGGGATTTCTTTTTTCATAATATCTTTCTATAGAATATAATCTCTTTTTTCAGAATATTCAACAACACCAGCAAAAGATCTAGAAACAGACAGACATCACAGAGGATCAGACGGCAAGGTCCGAGCCCGGTCAAAAAGAAGCAACGATCCTTCCCCTGCTGCTGACAGTGAGATCGAGGTAATAACTTTAACTTGTATTCCCTTGGTAAGTGCAGCAAAGGTGAGCAGTTGTATCTATTAGCAAACCCCACCATCTGACTAGGGAGTTAAAAGAACCAGAATAAAATTAGTATGGTAACTGGAGCCTACAGACTCAGGGAGTCAAAATTGCTCAACTTCTATATTATCAGCATCTCAAACTATTCTTCATATGTACTTTTTTTTCTTTTTTTTCCTTTGGGCTTTTTATAAGTCTGCTGTTTTGTCCCCCTGACTGGACATGCAACAGGGAATTTCTGTGGTTGTCAGGAGAGCAGACTCTCAGGATGACCAGCACACACATAGTTCCAGACTTCCTGATGTTTCATTTTGCCTGCTTTCACAAAGCATCTACAGTCAGTGCTCCAAATGGGCTTGAGATCTTAAAAAACTCTAGTCTAACAGGACGTATTTCCTGACTGAACGAATTCTTGCAACTGCTTAATATGTAACTGTTTTTTTTTCCCCCCTGTCTGTCATCACAGCGTGTGTTTGTGTGGGATTTGGATGAGACGATAATTATTTTTCACTCCTTACTCACGGGAACCTTTGCATCTAGATATGGGAAGGTAAAATTTAATTTTTTTAGCATTACTACTTGTCCAGCCAAATCGCATCGGGAACTGTGGGGGCAGCTAATGAGACAGCTCTTTGAACAGATGCTGCTGATTTTATTCAGACACATTTATATAAGTATGTCCTGTGGTATTTCCTTCTAACATGTGAAAATTTAATTTACCTTCCTTTCATGTTGCAAGTAGCCCCTTGTTTTTCAAAAGCTTGTATTGTTCAGCTGCTGCTAGATAGGACATCAGGATGTTCTTTCAGTGTCTGTCTCCTGCAAGGAATTGCTTGTCAGGCAGCCAGACAGCATTAACTCTAGCCTGAATGAGGTAACATGATTTTTGTTAGATCAGTGTTTTATGAATCTCAGACAACTTTTTAAGCAAGATTTTTTGTTGGTCAGTCTAGGTTGCCATGAAGAATACTGGCGTTTTTTCCCATGGGGCTGCTGAAGCTCACATTTTTGAGGGGTTTTAGGAACTATATCTTCAGCTCTCCATTCCGTAGTTGAAATGCAGGTGGTTCCATTTTTTAGGTAACTGTGGCAGAACAGACTGAACCTGGCTGCTAAGGAGAAAACACTGGCTCTTGGATTTAGTACCGTGTGCTTCAATTTCTTCCCAAGGCAGCTTTTTATGATAAACACTTAAGTCACTTGGAGTTACAGAATGTCAAACACTTCTAAATGGGTAGGAAAAAGGACAATATCATTACCTAATTAAAGGCGGATGATGACCTAGTTGGCAGCTGTTTCCACACGTGGCTTTGAACAGTCAGCTTCATCAGGAGACTGGAAAACAGCCCTGCTTCTCTCTAGAAGGCAGAAATATGATTTGACATCATTTCATGGCTTTACCAGCTGTACTTGTTTTACGACAGTTATAACAAGTTGAATGGGTAATTAGTAAGGTAGATTTATTGTTCGCTGTTAGATGTGCACAGTTGTAAAGGATATAAAATGGTGTTTGTGGTGTGGATGTCTACTGCAGCACTTGGAATGCTGCTAACACTTCTAACAGCACCCTCTGAAAACCAAGCACGTGTTTCCAAGCAGGGATTTAGTCAGACCCATGTTGTACAAGGTAATTCAAGCGGTTACTTTTCCCAGGGAACGTAATGAACGAGGCAGTCTGAGGTATATGTGTCTAAGCTCAAACCTGCTGCATGCAAAAACCAGAAGGAATTAGGCAGGATCAGGAAACATAAACTTACACTGTGTAGATCTGCTATGTGGCCATACTTAGTACTGGGCAGGGGCTGCAGTCTGCATGTGGAGAGTTCCCATAATGGGCTGACTTTGTACTAGCATAAAACTTCTGAAGCAGATACCATCATCTGGTGTCTCCTGCACGAGTGTGGGGTCGGGATCTGCTGCATGGGGGCAGCAGGTGGTGAACTGAGGGGTGTGATGGTGGTGAGAAGCCCCGCGAGCGCTTGCTGATGGGTTGCCATAAAGGCAGAAGCTGGTGTAGGGATGAAGTGGGGCCAGGGCGTGGAGCCAGGAAGAGCCACCAGTGGCCAAGTTGTTCCTGTTGGCCAAGAGCAGAGTTAGGTCAAGACAGCACACTTGTGAGCAGCAGCCTGCAAATGGGACTAGGGAGAGAGGAGAACAGGAAAATGGGAACTCGGGAGATTGTCTGCTTTGAAAGGCCTTTAAAGGTACAAAACTACAAACTTCTGTTCACTGTTTCCTTTATGCAAATGTGAAGAATGACACAAAGAGCAAAATTTTTTTTGGATGAATGAATCACGTTTTCTATGAAGTTACAACAGACTCTTTGAGAAACTTCCCTGGAAGGATTTTTTTTTTTTTTAAGTTCTTCACTCGTTTCATCAGTATTTGATTCCCCAGGGGTTTCCTATAAGGGAAATGGCTGTGTTATAAAAGTATTATGGGCTAACGACTTGATCCACAGACAACCAGAGGCTTTGGTGAGCTTTGGAACAGACCTTAAACCAAGAGATAAATGCAGCACACTCAGACAGGCTGTCCTGGGAACTGTTAAATAGTAACACAATTGGAAAACGTTTAAGTGAGCTGAACTATCAAGTACAAGTGAAGCAGTGACTCAGAGGTTAATAGAGCTTCAGAATCTCTTACCTGAACAATGTAGGACATGTTAATCACAATGTAAATTAAGTATCAAGGCCTAAAATTCTAAATTTTTGTCCATAATGGATCATAAAATATTTGTGTGGCTGTAATTAGACATGCATATGCTTGAAATTAAACCTCACACATGGAGGTCTTGGTTCTGTATGTCTTCCTCCAGAAAAGGTGTCAGTTTGTGATCACTATTCCCCTGACCAACATCAATGTCCCAGTATCATTCTGTCTGTTGCATTTGTGGAGCTGCTCTGCAGCCACTAAAATAATTAGTCTATAAAGCTGATTAAACTCTTTCTGGGGTGATTTTCCTGGAAAAAGGGAAGGAGGAATATCAACCACAGCTACGGAGATTTGGTCTGAACTCCTGTGGTTTTTAGCTACAAATTCTCCAATGATTCTGCATGTTGCCCCTGCCTTGGTGATGGCAGCAATAGGGAGCTGTCCAAAAAAACATTGATTTAAAAAAAAAAATAAGTGGGAGGAATTCACAGACAGGATTATCAATTATAGTTTTATTGTTAATCATCAGTGCTTCAGTGTTTGTTTTCTGGCCCAATTTCATGTGAAAATTCTCTTTGTTTGGTTTCTGAGGGAAACCTCTCTGGTCCTTGCCATAAATCGGGGCTCCTCAGAGCCTGGACAGGGCATCTCAGGTGTTTAGAAAATAATTTGCTTATAACATTAATAGAAGTTAAGCAAAAAACCAAAATTTACTCATGGTTGATGCATGAATGAATAGCCCAGCCTAGGTTCCTCCTTTTTTGTCACCTCTGCCCAAACTCTTTGCTCTATCCCATGGATTTACACGGTCATCAGACCTTTGGTCTTAATGTCTTTCCCATAGGAATGGTCCGTGCAGTATGAGCCTCCCAGCGGCAGCCAGAGCAGCCTGCAGAGTCCCTTCTGCCGGTGCCTCCCTGCGCACGGCTGCTGCCCTGCACAAGGGGCCGGCGGCGCGGGGGCAGCGGGGCAGCGGAGCTCTCCCACCCCAGGAGAGCTCTCCACCTTTTTGTTTCTCAACAGGAGGCCCTCTGACAAGGAAAGGAAAGGAAAAAAAAGAAGGTTCCATAGGTAGTTAACCCAGCATATTATCTTCAGGAGGGTTTAGAAACCTGCTCAACAGGCTTTTGATCACATATGGATGCAGAATATTTACCCTGTGCCTGGAGACCACCACACGTGTAGACCATCATTACAGCTTAATATACTGTCCACCCAGCCCTTCTAATCCCTTCAGGCATGTGTAATGCAGCTCCCATTCAACAGGAGGATGGTTGCAGTCTTTACTATGTCTGCAGAGATCTGCCCACCAAATCACTGAGTAAACATAATGGGAAAAACAGGTCCACATCCCTGCCAGGGCTGCTGGGGTTTCACATGAGCTGGGTAAAAGATGCAGGGCTTTGGTGATTCATTTGCAGCAGCTAGGTGCAGTACAGAAAAATTCTTTTGGTGGTATTAATTCAGACACTGTAAAAAGAGATTGCATTCAATCCTGTGCCAAAAAAAAATTCATGTCCATTCCCCTTTTCCTGACTGAGATATTTGCAAGCTTGTTCCATAATCTGCACTGTCAAAGCATTTAAAAAAAAAAAAATCCTGCATCTCTTTCAGTCTGAGGAATTTTAAGTATTATATTGCAGATTCATTCTCATGCTTTTCAAAGGACTGGTATGAAGAAAAACTTTGGCACTGGGTGTGCTGCTTTCCCTAGCTGAGGGGCACATCTGAAGCAAATAGCTTTTCTCAGTATTTTGTATTGTTCCCAGCACGTGTATTCTTGTTCTGTGTTCGTACAGCCCTTGGGATTTTAGTGTTGAAATGAAATGTGAGTGGAGTAAAGTCTGGAGTTAAAATTCATCTTTACCTGTAAGTTACTCTGAAATGCTGAAGCCAAATGGAAAGGATTTTATTTTAGCACTGACTTAAAGCACTGAATATGTAAGACAGTCTAAATTCTTCCATTGTGTTGAATCTTCATCAGTATTTTGATGATGTCTGCAGGTATGTGGGAGTTAGGATCTATAAAATTCCCTGTATGATGCACAGCAATTTCTGAGTTTGTTCAGCATCTTAAATTGGCTTGAATTAGGAAAAACATATGGCAAAAAAAAAAAAAATGCATTGTGGCCCAGCTTTAAATCAGAGTCAGGCAAGGTCATGTTCAAAGTTTTAGTTAGCTTCAGCTGAAAGGTGTTTGCATCACCTGTATCCCTGCTGCCGTGCCCCACAGTGCCTGGGCTATTGTTTTGCCAATGAGCAGGCCCAACAAAAATGATACCGCCACCAGCAGGAAGATGAACCAATACCCAGACTGTATTGTAGACAAGAAGGACATTCCATGAATGATCTCTGGGGGTACAAACAGATCAATCAGCTGGTACATAATTGACGTCGCCCCCAACGATCCCACAAAGGACGTAACTCGGCCCACAACAGGTGGTACAAACAGAGACCCGAGGTTGCCCACAGTTGGCATGGGAAACAGCCAGAGCAGCAAGCTGAACACATAAGAGAAAGGTGCCCACATAGTGACTCTCACCTGATCAGCCCAGGTTCGCAAAGGTCTAAACAGACCAGGGCCCAGCTCCAGGAGAGTCAGGAGGTCTGCCCTGACCCAGGAAGCTCTGGGGAGTGCACTCCACAGACAGACACTCCTGACTCCCGGCAAGTGGTCCCAGCTTTTATCCCCAAGCAGACCCCTGACCTTTGTTCACTCAGTGCAGGACCCCTGGGGCTCATTTCCCTTCTGGCTCTCCCTGCAGGGCCGGCCGCACCCTGGGGGGAAGCTATAAGGCAAACTCACCTCCTCTGGATGAAGGGCTGTGGGAATCACCCACATGTCAACCTGAATTCGGGGCTCAGGGTTCAAACACCAGCATTTCAGCTATGTGG